CATAATTTTCTGACCAATGATAGATTGTCCGCGCGCTGCTGGACCACGGAAATTCTTTGTTGAATACTGCGATTTAAAAAAAAACAATAATAATCTGATGCGTTTGAATAATAAATTCAACACTCAAGCTAGTCAATTTTTTGGCCCCAGCCTGTTGATTTGGCCATTAGATAGCATAATCAGAGTTCACCAAAGTTTACAAAATGAGAATCAGCAAAGAATGTATAATCAGCAAAAAATGTAGAAAACTTGCTTCTACGGTGAAACTCTAGCATCTTCTTAATGTTGACATGAAATAAATGTCTATAATGGCACCGAAACTACAATCCCGCAATAAAACAAATTTTCTCATCATGCAGCAGCAAAACTCGGATACGTCTGATAACCATTCAGTGAAAATGTGTCATTAACATTCAACGAAAATTGACTTCGATCCTACTTTTTCGCGTCACGATTCCAATTAATTTTCATATGGACATTTATTTCGATTGGAACCTAATTTTACTGAGAAAATCATACAAAATTTCATGCCCAGAGCGCGTAAATTAGATACGCTTAAAGGTTACTAAGACAATGGCACGAAGCAACGTAATTCTGTTCACTTATCAACACAACAAATTTTTCAACGACAAATCAATTGCGACTTCAAGGCCCAACAGCAATCTACTATTTTCCGATTTTTATTTCAACACTTCTCTTTAACTTCACATCTTGTTGTTTGTTTGTCTATCTGTCTGCTACAAATCTTATAATAGATTTTTAACACATTTCTACCTCTCCAATTAATCGATATGAAATTTTGCACACTTGCGTAAAGCTGGAGACAATGCATGAATCAATTGACAGAATAAATAATTTTAAAATTATAGAAAAAAATTTTTAATATTAAAAAAATTGAAAAAATATTTTTGTCTGCAACAAATCTCATAACCGATACTTAACACACTTCTAGCTGTCCAATCTATCTGAAATTTTGCAGAATTGCGAAAAGTCGGTGACAATGATGAATCAATTGACAGAATATATAATTTCACAATTTTAATTTCTTTTATGTATTAAAATAATTAATAAATCATTTTTTAATATTCGAAATTAAAATTAGAAACTCAGTGTTCATGTTTTACATTGGAGACACTGGATTTTTTAGAAATGTTATCTTTAAAAAGTAATTTTTAAACGTTCATTATTATTCCTACAATATATTAGATCGCTGCAAACCTGGCTTATAATCATAAAGCGATAGCACATTCATCAAGTGCTAAACGCATTCATTCATTTATGAGAACATTCATAAAGTGATGGATGCATTCTTTAATTGATGAAAACCTTCATCAAGTGTGTGTGTGAACGCTTCATTGAGTGATGAACACATTCATCAAGTGATGATCATATTTCACGGTAACACAAAAGTTAGTTTTATAGCGAAACACCGAAGTGGTCTCGTTACTTCTAATTTGTTCCGTTGGACTCATACTCATTTTTTCAATGATTTTTTTAAGCTAGAGAAATGCAATATATATTGTCGTTGACTTCCAATAAATGAAAATAAAAATCATCAGCCTAACCTCGCGGATATTTCGTTCCCGTATGAATAAAGACAAACAACTTTTACTTTACCAAGCATCGTCATCATCACCGTATGATTTAGCTTAAATATTATACAAAAATGCATTGAGCGTTATAAACCTAACACTTCTTCTTCACTTAACACTTCTTGGAGTCCTATGGATCTATATATAAATATATACACGAACGTCTTTTCTGAATTCTTTCATTCAGCAACATGACATACAGCTCCTTAACAACAAATATATAGTTCAATAATTTATTCATATGCATGAAATCTTCTCGGAATGCTAAAGAATTAAAAATGGAATAAAATCATAAATATTTCAAAAAAACATTGTGTATTTCTTTCTTGACTTTAAGAAATAAAATTAGAAGCAAAAACAACGTAATTAAAGGTTGTTCTGACGTGAAATCGACTTTAATTTACGACGAAAAATATTTTTTACAGAACTACATGTATCTAGATAACATGTTTTAAGAAGTAATAATGTTATTAATGCTGCATTAAACGGAGCTTTCATGTTGATTGGAAATAAGAGGCTGCCGACCGTCGCTATGGTCGTCGCATGATAGCGACAAGCCATGCCGAGATCCGGACCACAGTCCGCACCCGCGGACATCTACAGCGGTGCCACCACCCGTGTCTGTTACGTGTAGAATGGCGTTATGGCTTACCACATTACCACCTCCACCACCAACGCTGCACAAAACATTTCCACCAGATCCACTACCGATCCCACCAAAGCTACCAGTGTTGCCTCCACATCCACCACCATTGCCGCAACATCCATCACCGCTGCCGCCACATCCACCACCGCTAACACCACATGGATCTCCCAGAGGAGCTTCTGTGGGTGACGTGAACTCAGGAGGCGGTGGCGGTAGGACGTGCCTCTGGAGTCTGTGGTCGAGGGTTGCGTACGACAAGCTGGGGTTGAGGGCGCCGGTCGTACGGCAGGCAGGGTAGTGGTGGGCGGCTGATGACGTAGGCAGGCAGGCGTGCGAGCTGTGCTGCTGCAGGCGATACAGTGCGCACCCGCGCGCCGGGGCGGGAGGTATGACGTTGCTCCGTAGCAAATCTCCTGCACAGGTCTGGGGCATAAAAAAAGCATTGAGGTGTTAGTAAATAATGGAATATGTGAGGGAGTTGAGCGACATCAATTGTGTGCAGATAAAAATATAATCAATTGGCTAGTCACAAAAAATTGGCTTTTATTCTGGCTTAATTTCCTTATACGCATTTAATAATATTTCATTTATAAAAGCTTTAAGTATTCGAATTTATTACTTTTTCTTTTTGTACTTCGTTATCAGTTCATAAGTTAAGCTCATAAGTAGAAAGTAAACATGACAGTCGTCTTTAGATATTTTAGCGTCGATGGCCTTTTTTTCTGAGCTTAGATTTCGTTTTTTTACCGATCGTAAATTAAAAACTAAAACTATATATATAAGACCATATATCCGGTGCGTGCAAGTAAATTTCAATCATTTTATCTCTTCGGGCTACTTTATAGATTTGAGTTATTAAGACATCCCAGCTGATCTTAGGTGGAATTTTGTGTAATAATAATAATCGAGAGCATAGAGAAAATAATAAAAATTTCATGAGAGGTAATTGATTATAATCTTGATTATTGTCAAAATAATAAATCAGTTGCTGAGGCTGCTGCCTTTGATAAACGATCAGTTGCCGAGGCTGCTGCCTCTGATGGACGATCAGTTGCTGAGGCTGCTGCCTTTGATAAACGATCAATTGCTGAGGCTGCTGCATTTGATAAACGATCAGTTGCTGAGGCTGCTGCCTCTGATGAACGATCAGTTGCTGAGGCTGCTGCCTTCGATGGACGATCAGCTGCTGAGGCTGCTGCCTTTGATAAACGATCAATTGCTGAGGCTGCTGCCTTTGATAAACGATCAGTTGCTGAGGCTGCTGCCTCTGATAAACGATCAATTGCTGAGGCTGCTGCCTTTGATGAACGATCAGCTGCTGAGGCTGCTGCCTTTGATGAACGATCAGCTGCTGAGGCTGCAGCCTTTGATAAACGATCAGTTGCTGAGGCTGCTGCCTTTGATGGACTATCAGTTGCTGAGGCTGCTGCCTTTGATGAACGATCAGTTGCTGAGGCTGCTGCCTTTGATGAACGATCAGTTGCTGAGGCTGCTGCCTTCGATGGACGATCAGTTGCTGAGGCTGATTCCTTTGATGGACGATCAGTTGCAGAGGCTGCTGCCTATATTGAATGTTCAGTTGCAGATGTTTAGGCTCCTGATAAAGTAATTAGACCTGATAATTCCGGTTGTAGTGAAGGAAATATCGACAAGGAGAGCAGATTTATGCACTGGAGAAGCGCCCGCTTCAGGCTCGCAGCTCTCGCCACTGTAATTATAACTAATTGCATTTGGCGGCGCCATAGCTCGCGGTAATGTGATTACTGCCTCACCTAACGAAGAATATTGAACGATAGCCATGATCATCGAGCCATTAATGGTTCCTGAGGGAGACCCTGCGATGGTTTGGGGGCGGCCGACATGAGAACGATAGCCATGATCATCGAGCCATTAATGGTTCCTGATGAAGACCATGGGATGGTTTGGGGCGGCCGACATGAGAACGATAGCCATGATCATCGAGCCATTAATGGTTCCTTAGGAAGACCATGGGATGGTTTTGGGGCGGTCGACATGAGAACGATAGCCATGATCATCGAGCCATTAATGGTTCCTGAGGAAGACCGTGGGAGGGTTTGGGGTGGCCGACATGAGAACGATAGCCATGATCATCGAGCTATTAATGGTTCCTGAGGAAGACCATGGTATGGTTTAGGGCGGCCGCCATGAGAGAAATTCGTGACCTCACAGCAAAGTAACACTCAGAAATATTGAGAGACTTTGTCAAAATAGCGATGCACTTGTTGACTCTGTTTGGGCCCTCCTGACCCAGTTTTACCCGGCAAAATGACGTATCAGTTTACTTGCAGAAAGTGTGTTACTATTTGGACAATATGACTCACTCATTTTTTTAAGCGTAAGGGCAGTTGACGGCTGGCTTATACGAGAGGTGATTTTAGAACAATAATAATACGGCGCATTTAAAATGAATACTTCTGCACCTGATTATGCTGTATGCTGCTACTGCTGTATGCTGCTTCTGCTGCATGCTGCTACTGCTGTATGCTGCTACAGCTGTATGCTGCTACAGCTGTATGCTGCTACTGCTGTATGCTGCTACAGCTGTATGCTGTTACTGCTGTATGCTGCTACTGCTGTATGCTGCTACTGCTGCATGCTGCTACTGCTGTATGCTGCTATTGCTGTATGCTGCTACTGCTGTATGCTGCTACTGCTGTATGCTGNTGTGACTAGGCCTGGTAGTGCTACCATGACAGTACCTGGTAGTGTGACTAGGCCTGGTAGTGCTACCATGACAGTACCTGGTAGTGTGACTGGTAGAGTGAGGCAGCGCGAGGCAGAGTGGCCATGCTAGAGGCCAGGGAGGCCGAGCTGATGGTGTGCACGTGAGCACCGCCCCGCCAGTCGTCTGAACATTGAAACAAACATTGACGAAATTATTATTTTTTGTTGAATTAACAACCCATAGACGAAATTAATATTTTTTGTTGAATTAACAACCCATAGACGAAATTAATATTTTTTGTTGAATTAACAACCCACGGACGAAATTATTATTTTTTGTTAAATTACTTGAAATTAACAATTTATGAAAATAATTTATTGTATATATGTAAAAATTTGTTTATGTTTGAAGCCTAGCGCTGGAAATATAGAAGGGACTGCTGAGGTGCGTATCCAGGATATACGTATATTGTGTCGGGATATTACCTGAAATTCTATTTTTTGTGATAAAATCATGAACCATCGAAAATTTAGGATAAAATTTGATAAATAATTAGTACATCAGCAGTATACATTTGATTCAGAAAAGAAATTCCTCGTTTATTTCAAGCAGGATTTTAAAATTCGAAGTTTTCAAATTTGGAAGTTTCGTGCTCAATAAAAATAAATGTGAACAGGTCTTTCTGTAATTGCGTACTTCCGTTGGATAAATCTCCTGAATAATGGGTTTGGAATGATGGAGTCCGGAATGACGGGAAATGAAATAATGAAATTCTCAAATTTCTAGAATTATCTATGCCGGATATCTTCCGGCTAACCTGTTATGAGTATTCCATTATTACCATCTTGTCATTAGTAAAACTGTTATTAGTATTCGTGGCATCACTTAGTACGCTATATTAAAAATATATATAGTACGCTAAAAAATATATATATAGTATAGTTACAAAATATCGATCAATAAATTCCAATTATTAAATTGGTGGTGGCACAGAAAAATGAGGGAAAATTAAATATAATTCTCTTTATTGTTACTGAAATTTCTATTTAAAAAGTGCGCAAGGCCGCGATTAACAAGACCATTTTCCCATCGAAGACTTTCAGAGCATCTTCTTTTTGATTCACATTTATTAAGCCTACAGAAAGGATTCATAAGGTTTATTGCCAATGATGTCAATAGTCCTTATTTAAGCTTTTTTACGAGGTGAAAAAGTCTTCTTTCCGAATAAAATTCCGCCGCTCAGTAGGACGGTGAGCCATCGTGGAGGCCATCAAGGCACAGTGGCCATCGAGGCACGGCAACCATCAGGGCACCGCGACCATCAAGGCACGGCAGCCATCAGGGTACGGCGACCATCAGGGCACGGCGGCCACCAAGGCACGGCAGCCATCAGGTCACGGCGGCCATCAAGGCACGGCAGCCATCAGGGCACGGCAGCCATCAGGGCACGGCAGCCATCAGGGCACGGCGGCCACCAAGGCACGGCAGCCATCAGGGCACGGCAGCCATCAGGGCACGGCGGCCACCAAGGCACGGCAGCCATCAGGTCACGGCGACCATCAAGGCACGGCAGCCATCAGGGCACGGCAGCCATCAGGGCACGGCAGCCATCAGGGCACGGCAGCCATCAGGTCACGGCGATAGCCATCAGGGCACGGCAGCCATCAAGGCACGGTGGCCATCAAGGCACGGCGGCCATCAGGGCACGGCAACCATCAAGGCACGTCGGCCATCAAGGCACGGCAGCCATCAAGGCACGGCGACCATCAAGGCACGGCGACCATCAAGGCCCTGCAGCTATCAAGGCACGGCAGCCAGCAAGGCACGGCGGCCATCAAGGCACGGCAGCCATCAAGGCACGGCGGCCATCAAGGCACTGCAGCCATCAAGGCACGGCGGCCATCAGGGCACGGCAGCCATCAAGGCACGTCGGCCATCAAGGCACGGCAGCCANGTGCTAGTGCAGCTCTCTGCACTAACGCGGTGCTAGTGCAGCGCTTTGCACCAACGCGGTGCTAGTGCAGCGCTCTGCACCAACGCGGTGCTAGTGCAGCGCTCTGCACTAGCGTTAAGCTGTCAGCGCGTTAACAAATTTCTCAGATTTCGTTTATTGGGTGAAAAAGTTAATTTTAAAAATCCAAAACAAATTTCGCCTTGTTCAAGTTAATTAGTTTGTGATTTAAAACATTTTAAATTGATCTCAAAAACAATGCAACCAAATAAATAATTATATTGTGTCTATTTATATTGTAATTTAACTTAACAATCCTGAGTCTGAATTCACGCGTTGTGAAATTTTCATTTATTTTTTAAGCACCGAAAAGAGCTTATTTCCAGGCACCTGTCAAGATGGCGTCGGTAGTGCGAGAAGACTGGGAGTCTCTGTGTGTACCATCTGACACCTCGTAGCTGTACTGCTTGAACCACCTGCTGTGGCTGATGATGTGCGATAACCTTCTGTTGAAACATAACAAATTTTATTTTTTATATCTGCATTTTGGGATGACACGACGATTTGGTTCAAATAGAAAATTTGTTAGATTGGATGTCATTTGCCAGTCTTTGTCTTTTGAAGAGAAAAATTTTATTGTGTTCCTTTATTCCAAATTGATTTGGTCTCACTATCAATTAATAATTTTATTTCTATTAACTTTATTCGTATTTTCACCATTGTTAATTATCTATTTTGTCACACAATGAAGCATCAATATTGTCCCGCTGTTATCAATATTTTCCCATTATTATCTGTATTGTCCCAGTATTATTTTTATTGTCCCGCTGTTATCTATACTGTCCCGCCGTTATCTATTTGGACCCACTGTTATATATTGTCCCACTGTTGCCTATATTGCCCCTCTATTATCTATATTGTCCCGCTGTTATCTATATTGTGCCACTATTATCTATATTGTTCCACTATCCACGACTTCTCGGGCATAATTAATCTCTCAATAGTCGTAGTGTTCAAGGTTCCTAATCAGTCAACTCAATGCCAAACCATATAGATAACTTATAGATATCCAGTATTAACTTCTCCGCAGATTCTTCCAGAGCAATATTTCAGAATTGAGCCCAAATTCATACACATAACATATGAAAAGCCAAATTGATTTCCTGTTCAGATTGAACGTAAAATTCATACTCTTAACATATGGAAAGTCTGATTTATCGAAGATGAAATACAAAATTTATATTTTCAATAGATTTAAAGCCAAATCTATGCCAGAACCAATGAAAAGCCAAATTTAAACGCTGAGGAAATACAGAGGAAAAGACAAATTTATATCCCGAACAGTAATTGGCTGCAGCAATTCGTGAAATAATAGTGATGCATCCATCATTACATCATTTTACCTCGTCACCAAACTCAAACTCGCACCAAACATGTTCATTACGTGTCAAAACCTTCAAACAACAGCTCCACCAGACACATCGTTCACCGTCACTGTCGAGTTTGTGCTCAATTTATGCTCACAGCTGATCGATTGTTGGCTCGGGTATCGCGCAAACATCCAAATTAAAATCAAAAATTATCTCTAGAGAGCCGAGAAATGTGCAACGATGAAGGCTCCTCTCATTTCGAACAGGAATTGCGCTCTTAACGCGTTAAAAATTTCAGTACCAGAAAGTCCATCTCATTACGGGTGTGCATACTGAAGTCGCCGCTAACAGTCAGTTTGTGTTGAAAATTTCTGGTATTAAAACGCCATCATACACTCAAAAAACATAAAGGGTCTTATTGCGAAAATAATGACACACTTTCCACACGTAGCACCGATCGACACGCCCTTTTTACGAGCGAAACTAGGTCAGGATGGCTGAAACAAGGGCATGCGTACAACAAGTGCATCCTATCTGGGGAAAAGTCCATCAGTTTTTTTGAGAGATTCAATTTTTATGAGTGTAGCTTTTCATTGGACAATGAGTAGGCTTTTGTTCAAGTAGCGTTGCAGCTTTTGCTCTTGCGTGAGTCATTTATACCTAGTTTGGCTCAGAAAAAAAGGTTATCGGTAATACAACCGCTCTGTGCTCGTGTTGCGGACAAGAAAGTGTGTAACCATTTGTAAAATTTGTCACATTCATTTTTTGCAGTGAACTCTTACCTCACAAGACACAGTTTGAAATCAACCGGCTATTCAGAAATATATCGAAATAATTTCAGATTTTTTTGTGGTCTTTGCACAATGTTCCTTCTGTGCCAAGATTTCCCGGACATTTTGTGATCGCGTAAATTTTTTCAGTGCCATATACAATAACCGTGTAACTCCAAAACCGGCGCGTACGAATACAGTGTGATGCTAGTGGTATAATATACTATATAATTAGTATTTCCACTAATAGCAGTGATTAGTTGCCGTTTACTCACGAAACCTCCTTGAAATTAGCACAATAAGTAAGTATGCTGTTCGAATTTAGCTATAGCGGGTAGGGACTGGTGGGTGGTATTTCGCCTCACTTACAAATCGATGCAAGATTATCTTTAATTTGATGGTAAACATTCTAATTGGACGAAAAAAAACAATTGTACGACTAATTAACTTAGAAATGTTTATGATCTAGAGCAAAAATTATCTCACTTTTAATTTCAAATTTTACAACAAAAAGCAACGTTAAATACTTAGTCAAACGAATATAAATAAGTTATAATAATAGCAACATCATCGAAGCAATCTTTTGCATAATTCACAGACGGTTACATCACTGATGGAAATACGTTATTGACCAAGCGGTCCATCAGCGCTTATGAGGTCTTGCACGAATATTACGGCTCCATATGGTGCTGAGGGCAGCGGCTCCATATGGCGCTGAGGTCCGCGGCTACATATGGTGCTGAGGGCAGCGGCTCCATATGGTGCTGAGGGCAGCGGCTCCATATCTGTCTCTTATACACATCTAGATGTGTATAAGAGACAGGAGGGCAGCGGCTCCATATGGTGCTGAGGGCAACGGCTACATATGATGCTGAGGGCAGCGGCTCCATATGATGCTGAGGCCAACGGCTACATATGGTGCTGAGGCCAACGGCTACATATGATGCTGAGGGCAGCATTTCCATATGCTGCTGAGAGCAAGTGGCGTGAATCTCGCTAGGAGCGGGATTCACTCAGTGGCTCACTGCCGTAACAAAAATCGGGTCCTGCCTCAGCCACGGCCCAAAAGTCGCTACAATCGGCTTAATGTTATTCTGGGTCTACCTGGCTACCCGATCGAAATTCGCTGCTGGTCAGATACTCATTTACAACTTTTAGTGTGTCCTAAGTGTGTCCTAAGAGAATGTAGGACTTTTTAGTGTGTCCTAAGAGAATGACAGGCATGTCCAGAGTGTGTAAATAATCTCTGAGTGTGGGAGTAGAGTGTCAATACTCTCAGTGTGTCCTAAGAGAATGATAGGCGCGTCCAGAGTGTGTAAATACTCTCTGAGTGTGGGAGTAGAGTATCAATACTCTCAGTGTGTCCTAAGAGAATGATAGGCGTGTCCAGAGTGTGTAAATACTCTCTGAGTGTGGGAGTAGAGTGTCAATACTCTCAGTGTGTCCTAAGAGAATGATAGGCGTGTCCAGAGTGTGTAAATACTTTCTGAGAATGAGAGTATTTCCAGAGTGTCAATACTCTAATTTAATTAATAATACTTGCTTTCTGTACTGATGGAACCACCTGCTGTGGCTGATGATGTGCGATAACCTTCTGTTGAAACATAACATAATAAATTTAATTAATAATACTTACTTTCTGTACTGATGGAATCAACTGCTGTGGCTGATGATGTGGAATAACCTTCTCTTGAAACACAGCAAAATAGATTTTTTTATATGTATATGCATTTTGGGATTACGCGACGATTTAGTTCAAATAGAAAATTCGTTAGTTTAGATGTGATTTGTCGGTCCATGTCTTAGGAAGATAAACAATTCTATTTTGTTTCTCTATTCTCTATTGGCTTGGTCTCACTATCAATTAATAATTTTATATTTATTAATAATATTTTAATTTTAATTAACCCCTGTGAATTTTCTATTAGGTCACACAATGAGTCTATTGTCCCATATAGTCCCACTATCAACATTGTCCCACTATCAACGACTTCTCGGGCATAATTAATCATTATTCAATTCAGTGTCGAACGATAAAAATATAGATATTCAGTAATAAATTTTTCGTCAATTCTTCCAATTCTCAATGTTTGAGAATTGAGCCTAAATTCATACTCATAGTAGATGAATTGCAAATTGATATTTTGTTCAGATTGAATATAAAATTCAAACTCTTAACAGATGGAAAGTCTAGATAATTAAAGACAAAATACAAAATTCATATTTTCAATAGATTTAAAATCAAATCTATGCTAGAACCAATGAAAGGACAAATTTAAACGCTGAGGAAATACAGAGGAAAAGACAAATTTATATCCCGATGAGTAATCGGCTGCAGCAATTCGTGAAATCATAGTGATGCATCCATCATTACATCATTTTACCTCGTCACCAAACTCTAACTCGCACCAAACATGTTCATTACGTGTCAAAACCTTCAAACAACAGCTCCACCAGACACATCGTTCACCGTCACTGTCGAGTTTGTGCTCAATTTATGCTCACAGCTGATCGATTGTTGGCTCGGGTATCGCGTAAACATCCAAATTAAAATAAAAAAATATCTCTAGAGAGCCGAGAAATGTGCAACGATGAAGGCTCCTCTCATGTCGAACAGCAATTGCGCTCTTAACGCGTTAAAAATTTCAGTACCAGAAAGTCCATCACATTACGGATGTGCATACTGAAGTCGCCGCTAACAATCAGTTTGTGTTGCAGCTTTTGCTCTTGCGTGAGTGATTTATATCTAGTTTGGCCCAGAAAAAAGGTTATCTGTAATACATCCGCTCTATGCTCGTGTTGTGGACAAGAAAGTGTGTAACCATTTGTAAAATTTGTCACATTCATTTTTTGCAGTGAACTCTGACCTCACAAGACGCAGTATGGAATCAACCTACCAAAAATATATGGAAATAATTTCATATTTAGTGAGCTCTTTGCACAATGTTCCTTCTATGCCAAGATTTCCCGCAGCATTTTGTGATCGTGTAAATTTTTCAGTTCCATATACAATAACCGTGCAACTCCATACCCAATAACCGTGCAATACCCAATAACCGTGTATGTAACTCCATATACAATTCCTCAAACAGTGTCTGTAAACAAACAAACCAACTCATCAATATTTTAACAGAAATATTCTAAGGTGAAAGCAATAATAGATACCCAAGAAAAATTAATAGCTCCTTACCAAAACAGTGCAGGCACCGAGCTGTTTCGCACCAGTCGCAACCCGTGACTTGTGACAGAGATCTCTATACTAGCTTGAACTTGCCTACTTCTACGTGGGAAAATATTCAGTTACTGTAGAACTGAAGATGACATCTGCGATTGCGGACAGTGAAGCAATCTCTTGCATAATAATGAATTATTCACCGTCGGTTACATCGCTCATGGAAAAACATTATTGACCAAGCGGCCCACCAGCGCTGTTGGGGCTCTTGCACGAATATTACGGCTCCATATGGTGCTGAGGGCAGCGGCTCTCCATATGGTGCTGAGGGCAACGGCTCCATATGGTGCTGAGGGTAACGACTACATATGGTGCTGAGGGCAGCGGCTACATATGGTGCTGAGGGCAGCGGCTCCATATGGTGCTGAGTCATATGGTGCTGAGGGCAGCGGCTACATATGGTGCTGAGGGCAACGGCTACATATGGTGCTGAGGGCAGTGGCTCCATATGATGCTGAGGGCAGCGGCTCCATATGGTGCTGAGGGCAGCGGCTCCATATGGTGCTGAGGGCAACGGCTACACATGGTGCTGAGGGCAGCGGCTCCATATGGTGCAGAGGGCAGCGGCTCCATATGATTCTGAGGGCAGCGGCTACATATGGTGCAGAGGGCAGCTGCCCCATATGATGCTGAGGGCAGCGGCTCCATCTATTGCTGAGGGCAGCGGCTACATATGATGCTGAGGGCAGCGGCTCCATATGATGCTGAGGGCAGCGGCTCCATATGGTGCTGAGGGCAACGGCTACAAAAATCGGGTCCTGCCTCAGCCACGGCCCAAAAGTCGCTACAATCGGCTTAATGTTATTCTGGGTCTACCTGGCTACCCGATCGAAATTCGCTGCTGGTCAGATACTCATTTACAACTTTTAGTGTGTCCTAAGTGTGTCCTAAGAGAATGTAGGACTTTTTAGTGTGTCCTAAGAGAATGACAGGCATGTCCAGAGTGTGTAAATAATCTCTGAGTGTGGGAGTAGAGTGTCAATACTCTCAGTGTGTCCTAAGAGAATGATAGGCGCGTCCAGAGTGTGTAAATACTCTCTGAGTGTGGGAGTAGAGTATCAATACTCTCAGTGTGTCCTAAGAGAATGATAGGCGTGTCCAGAGTGTGTA